CTATAGAAACATGGCGGTTCAACAAGGCAGACTAGCGCTCTCTGTAGATAAAAACAGGAATTTGTTATTTTCAGTGATTATACACTAATGAAAACCATTTCTGACAATAGATCCTCCTAAATATTATACACTAGACTTTTTAAAAAAAGGACACACGTGAGACTGGTATTGATATTGTCACCTAACTTTTGGCATGAAATCAGACTATTGCTAAGTGTGAATTAGTTTTCCATTTCAGCTCTTGGAGTTTGTTCCAGGAGGGTCCTTATGTCCAACAGTGCACCCTCCACGGCTTGGAGCAGGTGTGCTGCATAATCTTCTCTCTTGGTCTTTTTGAAACTGGACACTGTCAAGTCAATGTTGTCGTTCAGAATACCATAGTACACATTGTCTACATCGGGTTCTTCAGGGCCAAGACATGGCTTACATCCAGTCCTGGATGTTACCTTGTGAACAAGGGCAGAAGTGAGAAAGCTGTGGTTAGTTCCTGTTGTAACACTGAGGCCTCTGATATGCGTTTCTGTGAGTTGATCTTCCGTTATCATTTTAACCACATCTTTTTCATGTTATATTGACATTTTAAATAGTATAACTAGAAACTTTTGTTGTTTTGTTATATATTTGACTTCATGCTGTTCTGCAGGGCAGGAGCAAACTGAGAAAAACTTTCAAACTTTCTTTTCATTTTACCTGATTTGTGATGAGTTTGAAGTCAAAGGCTTTACTGTAGGAAGTGTCTGTGAAGATATCAGGCATGGGGATTCCTTCTTCAACAGCCTGCATCCTCAGACCCAAGAGATGTCCTTGTACGGCCTGTCCACTGATTCCCTGTTAGGATGGAGACAATTCAATTTGTTTGGTGGGATAGTATAAAAAGACAACTGTGATAACAGAGTGTGTTGTGGTGCTGTGGATGATACTCACCATGAGCGTGATCATTCTGTGTGTGTTTATAGCTTTCTCCAATAAATCCATCTTCTCTGAGTTCTGTACAAAAAGAATGTTACAACTCATCATTTGTTGCCTGATTGTGTTTGTTCATGTGACAGCTGATCTAAAAAGGAGCCATATCGCTGATGTAAACACATTTTTCAAGCTGATCCATAAAAAAATGCATGACCACCTGTGCAAAATACTGAGTTGAGATCAGGTAGAAATAAAATAGAAGAATCAGCAACAGTGGTAAGTAAATGATCTTTGCTTTGGTAGTGAAGAAAACCTGATCTCGGTTTCTCAAAGATATTGTGATTATTGAAAATATGAGAAGCCAGGTCATTACATGGAGCTACATTATGCAAGTTTCCTTTTCATCAAACCTGTTTTTTGGGGTCATCAAAGGCCTTGACAAAGGCAGCAGCGGCACTCGTGCTTGAATTCATTAGTGCCAAACGGCCCTCTCTGAACATGCGCAGGGTCATAGGTTCCATTGTTGGACATAGCTGCTGGTTCAACCTGAAAAAAAGAAAGGGAAGAGCGGTTTTCAACAACCCCAATGTTCCAACAGACAGAATTAAATAAGTTATTCTTGTGTTTTTAACATCATGACTTGTGTGATGTTATACTGTGTTGACGAATTTGAAAAAATGTATATCTGTTTTACAGTTATCATTGAAGAGGTGGCTGTTTAAATAATTAAATTCTTTAGTTTCGGGCTGCCCTAATGTGACCATGGCATTATGTTTTATTATCATGAATGTATGAGAGTGTATGAATGAGAGCTTTTGAACAATCAGTTTGATCTCAGTTAATGGACAATGTCAGTCTGTGTGATCAAGGTTTTTTACATGAAACCTTTGCATACATCTCTTGGTTTACAATAAAAAATACTATGACGACTTTTCAACACCTTACCTGTAGTAGGCCAGCTGTATTGCCATCTGTACGAAACCATCCGGGCTCATCTTGTGGTCCTTTATGACTTTTTTCCCAAAATGGTCAAATACCTTAACCTTCACATCCAGGTTTTGGGCCAGCCTGTAGTCGTAGGGATGGGAGACATTTTGGGACATTGAGACCTTTTTTGGGTAGCACTGATTATGTTGTTATCATGGCATCTGGCAAGTAAACATTTTTTCCTCAAAGCTTTGTTAGATGCAGAAAAAGAAGCAGCCGAGCTACTGTAGCTCACATTGCTGAAAAGGTTGATGCTAGTTCTGATAGAAAGGTCACAGATCACACAGTGCATTGCAGTTTGTTGCATATGGGAATGCATAACATTATGACCACCAGGGTGCCCAGGTGGTCATATGATTCTGGTTGCTCAGTGTCACACAAGTGACAATTCTACTGTCAATTCTCTGACCAGTGGTCTTAAGTGTTATCACCTTTTAGTATCGGTTCAGTTCGCTTTGAACTTCTACCGATTTGATACCCAAAAACAAAATTAAAAATGAAGAACAGTTCCAAATGAGGCACTGCGTCACATTTGAAGTCCATGATGTGCAGCCTGTGCATTTTAAGTGTGAAAAGGAGTTGCTGCTTCATGTAGCTGTTCGCATAGTAAGACATGGACATTTTTCCTGGTCACTGGGTGTCTACGCAACTATCACAACTAAAACCTGTTCTCACATGTCCATGTGCTGCTTGGCATCCTCAATGTCCTTCTTTATCTCAGGTGTGATGTTGAAGTGTAGTTTCTTGGGCATGGGCAAAGGCTCCATATTAGTCTCTCTCTGTATCTCTATCTTGTCCCTGTTTTTACATGCAAGAGAACAGAAATGATACATGGATGAAACAAAGGGAATTTAATTAAAAACCAAAGTTAACTGATTCATTAAATACCACTACCCACACCCATCTGACAGCCAGGCCTAAAATAACTGATTCATCAAACAACATCTGCATTGTAGGTCCTGTAGATTGGTCCACCCCCCTTCCCACCTCCCCCGGTGCAAGTTGTTT